GAAGGGAAGAAAAAGAAGAACATAGATCAACTGAAATACAAATTCAATTTTCTAATCCGTCGTAAACTTTTAAATTATGAAATTATTTAATTTAATTTGCTAGAACCAAAATTTGCAGCTTTTATCAGTAATGAATGGATAAAAAGGAGGATGTACGTAATCGGAGAAGTGAATGAATGGGAATTTCAATGAAGAAATTTCCACAGTGAAATGAAAAGCAATGAATTGCTGAAGAAAACTAATTGAGATTTGTTGATGAGAACAGTTGTTTTAAAGTTTAAAACATATCATTGATGGAGTAATGGCTTGGCCACAGATTATCAGTAAAACTCATTAACTTCAATGTGATTATTTTAAGTCTTTTCTTAACTGATTCATTGTGCACTTATCTTAAAGCAAAATTGATAAATGAATTTTTTTGATCTCTGATTCATCCCCTTCATTTCTAAGTTTTAATTCTTGCCAAGTCTGTTAAATTAGTTCATCCTCCATGTAATTTTTTTCCTTACTTTCCATCTTATCTTTTGTTTTAAACTGAATTTCAAATTTCTTTCTCTAAATTTTACGAAACAAATTTGACTTTGACAATAAATTTTTCCAATTAATATATGTATATATAAAAATATAATAATTGCAATTAATTTTAAATTGAATTTTATTTTTGTTCTAAAAAAAATTGAATTACTTGGGTAAATTTAAGTTATTGAACACTGAAAGATTGATGTGCTTTACTAATTTTTGTTATGCGATATGACAAAATGTCACATCTAATTGATACTGAAATGTAACAATCTTTTTTTTTTTTTCGAACTGGCAACTATTTTTTCAAAAATTTTTTTATTAACACTCCTTCAATTACATAGCATTACATTTGTTCTTTTTCTCGATTTGTCACAAAAGTTTGATTCTCGCAAGGTTTGATTAACAATTGATAATCTAATCAATATGGTAGTGATAACAGTGTGTGCGATAAGAATCATTCTACATTCGAAAAGTACACCATCCTCTTCTTCCCATTTCTATGCATTCATTTTTTACATTTTTGTTCTCATTTGCAAACAATATTCAAATTTTTGCTTGCAATTACGGAAAATGCCATTAGTGATAATTTTATGATATGATATAGAAATGATAAGAGTGATAAGAATGGTCTTTGATAAAATAACAGTTTCATTTTTTCAGTTTTTTGTTTTTTTTTTTCTAAAAGAATGTTTCGAAAAAGTAAATTTCAATAAAAATTCAAATCTCTTCTATGTTTTTTCAAATCTCGTCTATCTTTTTTTTTTCTCTCTCTTTCTCTCTCTCACAAATATCAAATTTTAATGTCATCATATAAATGTAACGTTATTTTCCGATACTAACATTAATACGATAACTTATCAGTATCATCTGATAAATAATGAAAGATTTATCATGATAATGATATCTTATAGTTGATTACAATTATTCTGATTGCTTGTTTTTTTTTTTTTTTTTTTAATTCATTACAAAATTATTGATGTGAAAGAAAAAAATTTATTTAAAACTGAATGCAATTATTGCTAACAGTGAAAATAAAATATATTATTAGATCATAATAACGATAAGTGTAAATTTTTTAATGACAGAGAAACGAAAATATCATATAGATATAGGCACTATTATTATCACTGATAACTTAAAGTGAATTAAAGAGGAAAA